AGCCTGGATCGCACCGCTGCGCTGGAACTCAAGGCGAAATACCTCCTCGAGTTGGGACGGAAAGAGGAGGCTGAGAAGGCATACAGGATTCTTCTGAGCAGGAACAGCGAGTACCGCGCATACTTCGACGGCTTGGAGAAGGCCCTTGGCCTCGACCGGTCCAACGACGCCGACATCGAGAAGCTGAACGAGCTGTACCAGTCTTTCGCCAGCAAGAATCAGCGCAACGATGCTGCGAGGCGGATACCGTTGGACTTCCTGCAGGGCGAGGCTTTCAAGACACAGGCGGATGCCTATCTCCGGGGCAAGCTGAATAAGGGCGTGCCCTCGACCTTCCCCAACATCAAGTCGCTTTACCGCGACGAGGAAAAGAAGGCAGTCATCGAGGAGCTGGTCCTTGGCTATGCCTCCAGCAAACCGACGAGCGACGAGAGCAACGGCGACAACTCCGACCGTTTCGACGAGGCTGTGCTATACTTCCTGGCCCAGCATTACAACTACGTCCAAAGTCGCGACCTGGAGAAGGCCATGGAGTACATAGACAAGCTGCTCGAGAAGGACCCGAAATCGGTCGATTACAACCAGACAAAGGCTCGGATCTACAAGCATATGGGCGACGTACAAAAGGCCGCGGAAATCCTCGACCAAGCACGAGAGCTGGAAAAGGGCGATCGATACATCAACACCAAGTGCGCCAAATACCAATTACGGAACAACGAGAACGAAACCGCGCTGAACACAATGAGTAAATTCACTCGCAACGAGACTGTGGGCGGACCTCTTGGTGATCTCCACGATATGCAGTGCATGTGGTATCTGCTTGAAGACGGCGAGGCATACTTGCGACAAGAGAAGCTCGGTCTCGCTCTCAAGCGCTTCACCGCAATTGCAGACATTTTCGATGTGTGGCATGAGGACCAGTTCGACTTCCACAGCTTCTCATTACGGAAGGGCCAGATCCGCGCTTACATCGACATGGTCAGATGGGAAGATCACCTCCGCGATCATCCTTTCTTCACTAGGGCAGCCACTCAGGCAGTCGAACTATACGTACGGCTAGCGGACAACCCGAAGCTATCGAGCTCGGACGAGCTTGACCTTGACAAACTGGATCCTACTGAGCGCAAGAAAGCGCAAAAGAAGGCTAAGAAGGAGAGGGAAATGGCTGAGAAGGCAGAGGCCGAGCGCAAAGCTGCTGCTGCCGCGAAGGCGAATGCCAAGGCCGAAGATGGCGAGACAAAGAAGGAAGACCAAGATCCAAATGGCGAGAAGTTGCTCCAGACAACGCAGCCTCTTGAGGACGCACTACGATTCTTGCAGCCCATGCTCGAGCTAGCCCCCAAGAACATTGGAGCTCAGAACGTGGGTTTCGAGGTCTACCTCCGACGAAGTGAGTTGCTTCGCGACATTCTTGTGCGATGTGTGCGCTAACAGTCGTCCAGACAAATACCTGCTCGCCCTCAAATGTCTGCAGGCTGCAAGGGAGATCGACCCAGAGAACCCCAAGCTGCACGAGCAGAGCGTGCGCTTCCGTCAAGCTAGTAAGTCAAACCAAGAACGTCTCATCAGGCTCATCGCTAATTTAGCAGTCTCCAAACCCGCTGAGCCCCTCTCATCTCAGGCCTCAGAGGTCATCAAGGAGTCCTTCACCACACCGCCTGCTGATGCCGACCTCAAAGCCTACAACGATGACTTCCTGAAGAAGCACTCGCAGAGCGCATCCCATCTGCAGTCCGGATACAATGTCCGGTATATTCTCGACAACAGCTCGAAATCCCAGAACGAGCAAGACCTACAGAAGACTTTGGAACTATCGAGCATTACGATAGAAGAAGCTCAAGCCGGACTCGTGCTACTCACTCAATGGAAGAGCGAACAGAAGGTCAAGGACGACTATAGGGCGAAGGCCGCAGGTCGTTGGAGCTCCGCCACCGTATTCAAGAACTAAGAATTTCTTTTGGTTCGCACGGAACGCTTCTGAGTTGAACGACAGTATACATGGCCATGAGTTTATGTACTACATCTAGTCCCAGCTTAGGTAGATGACGCGCAGCATATGCATTTGCACGGTGTCTGAAGCGCTACAACAAAAGCAATGAATAGAATCAGTATACGAATATACATCATGAGCGGGTTTCAAACACAGACACCAGACGGCGATCAACAAAGACATCAGGAATTGCGTCACACGCAGGAGCTTCCGGAAAGTAGCTGTTTCCGAATGTTCCATCGGCCAATCACAGGCCCCGCAGTACGAAAACTGCCCTTTGTGGCTAGCGTTAGGTCCCTGTGGGGAAGCGTCACAGCCGCACACCTTACGAAACAATCGGTCTTGCTTTCGATGTCACCTGCACGCTTCAACAGCGTTCTGTGTATCGTGTCAGTAATTTTGCTGCCGTATCTGCGACCTCAACGTGTCGTGGACCCATCTCAAGCCTCGGCGACTTACTGAGAAGGCGCATCTTATTTTACCTCTTTACGCCACCGTATACACCGTATCGGGATCCGGTTCCATTGTCGGAAGGCATGGCTACGAGACGATCACACAACAAGACGAGGCTGGGATGCAAGGAGTGTAAGCGAAGACGTATTAAGGTGAGTCGTTCGTATGAGTTTCTTATTGGTTCTTCATGCATACAAGATTAGTTATGCCCGTTCTAGTGCATCTCGATCACGTTACTTACCCAGCGCCACGGGGTAGCCGAGGACGTCTATCTAAGAGTTATGTCAAAGGGCATCAGGTTCGAGCAATGCCATGACCCACAGAACATTTTCTTGGGTTGAGGTAACACAGGACCCAAGAAGCTCCAATATCCTCGCCTTCTAAGGATGCCACGGAATCACTGCAAAACAGATCAATTGCTAAACGTTTGGTCTTCTATGATGCTAATTTGAACTCCAGTGCGACTGTAAGCACCCGTCGTGTGCAAACTGCGACAAGAAAGGCGACACATGCAGCTTTCTCATGCTGGCTCCTTCGTCACGCCTCTCGACAACTTCGACGTCACCCGGATCAACACAACCGCACATGATATCACCATCACCGATACCAAGCACACCAGAAACGCAAAACACACCTTCATACTCGCCAACCAATCTCATCGCATTTAGTAATGAGATAGCCCTCGCAACGCAGATGCCACGCCAAACTGAGATCTGTTTGGACGACATACCAATAGACTTTTCCACAAGCTTAACCGTGTCGCCTTCTCAAAGGGAGTATCAAGGAGGCTACTTCCCCGAGCTCATCATACCGCCTTATCTCCGCTTGGACGATGCCTGGAAAAACATCCGGGAGTTACTTCCGCCATCACTACAAGAAGTCCTATGTCACTACGAGTTCACAACATCTCTCTCACTCGCGAACGATGACCCCGCAAAAGCAGCCTGGCAAACCTATGTTCCCGAGATGGCGCAAAACCACGACTTCCTGACGAACTGCGTACTTTCCGTTGCCTCATTACATCTCGGCCGACTCTACGACCGCAAAGAGGATAAGAGACGAATGAACGCATTAGCAGCAGCACGCATGAATAAGGCTCTCGTGAGATACAGAACAGAGCTTCAAAACATAACGCAAGAGAACGCAGCAGCACTCTTTGCGAGTTCTACATTTACAGCTGTATATCTCTTCCGCACCTCCGCGATAGACATTGAGAACCTGATCGCTTCGATACCACCCAATACCACCGTCCCACCACCAGACATAGCCGACAAAATGCTATCCTGCGCCCTCCGTACAATCTGGGGCCTCCGCGGTCCCCTCACCGTCCTGCTCTCAGGCTGGAACTGGGTCGTAGGAAGTGATCTCCATCCCGTCACAGCCCGAGAATGGTGGCCGCGAACCACCACGCCCGCGACCCCGCGAGCCCTTAACGAAGACGCCCGTCTCGCCGCCATAGAAAACTTATGGACTAACGACAGCGAAACAGACCTAGACCCACAACACCGCGAATACCTCTCAGAAGCCCTCCTCTACCTCCGCCAAAGCTTCAATCTCATAAGCCAGCTCACGCTACCTGAACGCTACCCACCCATGACCGCAGTCCCCTACTCCATCGACGACACAACCATCTCCACGCTCAAAGACCGCGGCGCAATCTTCGTCTGGGCGACGCGCATCCCCCGTGACTTCCTCACCTTGGTCGAAGCCAAAAACGCACATGCGCTCGTTGTCCTAGCGCACTATGCCGTGTTGCCTGGTAGAGTGCGGAATGTGTGGTGGCTTGAGGGGCTGGGCGCGGATATCGTGACGGCGGTTGCGATGGTACTGGGACGGGAGAAGTGGGGGTTGATTGAGTGGCCTGCGAGGGTTGTGGGACTGGAGCTTGAGAGGGGGGTTGTGGGCGAGAGGAGGAGGGGGAGGGAGGAAGGGGGGTCGTGGGAGATGTGTATGGATGTTATCTAGGTTGGTGGATTTGAGTTTGAGGATGGGCATTTGAGGATGGGCATTTGAGGGAGTTTGTATAGTATCTTGGAGCGGTACCATAGAATGGGTGGCATCAGGCTCGTTGAAGCATTGCAGGTACATATTTCTTCTCTAGACCATTGTCGAAACTTGGCTCACACTTCCCTTGAGGCAGCTTGTGGCGAAGAAGCTGATATCAATATAGAAGCCATAGAAACCACGTGTCAATACATCGGAAGATGCGGCAGATGGCAAGACTTTATCGCTAATCATCATAGAAGGGACTGTAGTTGTGGTAGCAGTAAAGTTCTCGAGTCGGTCTTGCCTGCAGCGGGTTTATCGGAAATAAGCTAGAATGCGGGGAAGTGGACGGCCCCTGAGTCGCGTCACTACGACAATAACAACCTCGGTGTACGTAGCTTGCTTCCGACTCCGACTACTGCTAAAGGCAGCTTTAGCGATGGATCTTCCTACTTGCTTTCGCGCATCGTCTCTGGCACTTTCGGGTGATTGGGGTTGAGAAGACGATTCGACATCGCGTTCTCCCTGTACGCGTCTAACAGAGAACAACAAGTTGAAAGCATTCATTACCATGGCGTGTAAGCTTCTACTTCCGCTCTTTTAGGTTACTGTCAGATGCTGACACCTTCAAGTACCCATCATCGCCGGAGCAGCAGGCACAGCAGCCCTTGCCGCCTACCTCAACGCGAAACACCATATCGCCCACGACCTCAAGCATGCCCGCGGCGGTCTCTCGCCGACGCAAGATGTCGTCGACTTCATGACCGATCGCGCAGTTCGAAAACGCGCCCTCACGTACCATGTCTTCGAAGACCAGGTCCGCAAACAACCAACTCACCCGTTCCTCATCTTCGAAGGCAGAACGTGGTCATACAAGGAGTTCTTTGATGCGTTCACGAGGGTGGGGAATTGGCTGATAGAGGACCTGGGTATACAAGCCGATGAGGTAGTTGCTATGGATGGTGGGAATAGTCCAGAGTATCTGATGCTCTGGTTTGCTCTGGATGGGATTGGAGCTATTCCTAGCTTCGTCAATTGGAATCTCACTGGAACGGGATTGGTGCATTGCGCGAGGGCAAGTGTTCCTGGAATCGAGCGCGTATAACTTAACTGACCGTTGAAACAGATATGCAACTCCAGATTCCTCATCGCAGACGCCGATGTCAAAAGCAATGTCGAGCCATGCCGTACGGACCTTGAAGAGACAGGCGTAAAGATTCACTACTACGATCCCTCCTTCTTCGCGTCGCTACCGAACTCGACACCCATACCAGACGCACGCCGCGACCACGTTACTATAGAGTCCCTCCGCTCGCTGATGTATACTTCTGGAACGACCGGACTGCCCAAAGCCGTGACTTTGAGCACTGGTCGCGAGCTCTTGACAGGCTACAGCGCCGCGAAATACCTTGAGCTTAAGCCAGAAAGCAGGATGTACACATGTATGCCGCTCTATCACGGAGCGGCACATGGCCTTTGCGTCACACCGATAGTTCATTCGGGCGGTACAGTCGTATTGAGCCGGAGGTTTTCGCACAAGACCTTCTGGCCTGAGGTCGCAGCTTCAGATGCGGACATCATTCAGTATGTCGGCGAGCTCTGCAGATATCTACTCAACGGCCCACCGAGTACGCACGAACGGAGACACAAGGTGCAGATGGCATGGGGCAACGGTATGCGCCCTGATGTATGGGAACCCTTCCGCGAACGTTTCAACATACCCATCATCAACGAATTGTATGCCGCTACGGATGGACTGGGTGCGACATTCAATCGCAACGCTGGTCCCTTCACGGCGAACAGCATAGGTCTCCGAGGGCTGATTTGGAACTGGCGATTTAGCGACCAGGAAGTGAGAGTGAAGATGGATGTCGATACCGAGGAGATTATGAGAGATGCGAACGGCTTTGCGATCAGATGTGGAGTGAACGAGCCCGGCCAGGTGCTGCACAGATTGACTCCGGAGACTGTGGCTACTTCACCAGGCTACTACAACAACGAAGGTGCCACGGAGAATAGGAGGATTAGGGATGTGTTCGAGAAGGGCGATATGTAAGTCACCCTTTTAAGCTCGTCGACTGTAAGCTGATGATAGCAGATGGTTCAAGTCCGGCGATATGATGCGACAAGATGCGGACGGCCGCGTCTTCTTCGTCGACCGTCTCGGTGACACATTCCGTTGGAAGTCTGAGAACGTATCGACAAACGAAGTGGCCGATATGCTCGGCAAGTTCCCACAGATTGCTGAGACAAACGCATACGGCGTTCTCGTCCCTGGATACGACGGCCGAGCAGGCACTGCATCCATCGTCATGGCCGACGGAGTCACAGAGTCGACATTCAACTTTGCAGCTCTGGCGAAGCATGCAAGAGCAGTCTTGCCGAGTTATGCAGTGCCGCTGTTTCTAAGGGTGACGCCTGCATTGGAGTATACGGGCACTCTGAAGATTCAGAAGGGTAGGCTGAAGAAGGAAGGGGTTGATCCGGATAAGATCACTGGAGAGGATAAGCTGTATTGGCTACCCGAGGGTAGTGATCGGTATCTTCCATTCACGAAGAAGGATTGGGAGGCTCTATTGGATAAGAGGGTACGATTATCATAGTGTCTTTACTATAGCTGACCTCACACCTAATATGCTTTACATTCTACGAGCCATTTCTGCTACTGAATGAGTGCTATACCGTGGATTCACTGCCCATCATAGCCTATATTGACGTTGTTGGGCTATTTACTTTGCATGTTTTCATCATGATGCAGGCGGCAGACCTGTTCAGTCTCTTCCTTGTACGAGGTGCGATGGTACTGCTGACTGATTCAGGCCACCAAGGAAATCCATGTTCTCAAGTACAGCCGCCGCCATCCCAGATGGCCATCATCCACGTCAGTGTGTTGATCGCTCACTACATTTCTTCGATCCACTTTTGAACGACAAAAGACCCCACCGGGCATCAATTATCGTCGCCCTCTCAACATGCATCGCCTGCACTCTACCAGGGTTCCAGTGCTGCACCATGGGGCTCATTACGCTGATCTCAAAAACACCTTCAGGGCTGTACGCTACTTCCAAGGCGCAGCTAGCCCCATTGCGGCTGCATAGACGCTGGGGCGTAAGGGTCCACAAACCATGATCTTTCCGCCCACGACATTCGTCATGTTCTACGTTGCAGGTGATACACGTGGAAAGAAATGTTGGTTAAGGTGTTGGCTAAAAGGGAAGTTGAATGAGCCAATCAGGTGGCATGGGGCTGAACTTGCGTGCATTGTTGCGTGAGTCCCGACAAGAGGGTCGAATCCGGAGATTTGGTCTGTGGTCTGAGGTGCGGCAGTTGTTCGCTTCATTATATCAGATAGAACGGAAGATTTAGGGAACTGATTAGGTGTATGCTTGGACTGTAAAGATGGCGTGTTGTGCTGTTGAGATGGAAAGTGAGTTTGGTTGGGGAATGGGGCTACGTCGAGGGGTCCTCCTGGTGTGCTGATGGTGTTCTACGTGTCTCTGAGACCTAAATGCGCCACCTGTTGTGGTTCCCGGGATGCCTGAACATACACAAGCATCGAGGCAAAGCGTCCAGCTGTCCAACTTGACTGCCAATCCGAAACAAGCAAGTGGGCAGCCAGGATTTACCTTGGCCAACTTGATAGATCTCCTGTCCGAGAAGAGATGGACGTATTGAAGTGTCGGTAGATTTACCGGAGTGCAAACCTAGGTCGCGATCTACGATACTCTGTTGTCAAGTCGTGAGGCGACGTTGGGCGTTGGGTAGCTGCCCAGGTGTGGTGGCTTCAAAGACTTGACCAACGCATCGCAATTACCCTTAAAACTCGCTCTTGAACAAGCAGACCATGCGATGCCTCTACGAACAACGTTAGAAGAAGTGAAGCATGATTCAGCAAGACGCAATAGTGATCAGTCGTGCCAGGGTAAACGAAGGGGACAACTGAAGCGAGCCGACAAGCGAAACGTCAACCCGGATTCGATCAAACCTTCAATCGCCGTTAAAGCGCGCCTTTCCCCTTTGACCCAAAACAACAATGCGATGCGTTACCCCAACTCACCTCCAACAAAACTATAATACACACAGATCTTCACGCGACAACCGTATACAGACGGTGTCGTCAAGCTAGCACCCAACTTCCCTAACCGCCACGCACCTGCCAATTTACCAGCAGTAAGGAAAAGTCTCCGAATCCAGCCAAAAACACCACAAATCTCCCCCAGAAACTCTCCAGTTGGTCGGTTCGCTTGCTCCCCACCCCCTTTCGCAGCCCAGCCCCCACACGAAGGGGGGCGCGCAATACTGTATCGATCGCCATGCTCGAGTCCCTCATTTTCAGCCCTACAATCGCCCGCTGTCATCGAAACCAAATCTGAAATTGAATCGTAATCATCGTTGAAATTCAGCCCAACGGTTCTATTCCCATCTTAGATGGGGCAGACCAGAACTTAGAAACAGGTGGCATGCACTGGGCGTGTGATCGACCTAGCCGCCCACCAGCGCTCGGTACTCAACCTGTTACGCGTCCGGTGTGGAAAAAAGGGAAAGGACCAACAATCATCTGCCGGACTTTCTGAACGGTGTGCGCAGGACTACGTTGGCAGCTGGTGCTTGGTGGTGGTTTAATCGGTGCGAGAACTGTGTATTCGGGGCGAATATCGCGATGCATGGGTGACCGTGGCTAGGATCTGGTTCTGTCCTGGTGTGGCTGGCCTCTCCCTCACCTTCAAGTCCCTGACTCGACTCACCAACATGATCGTGGAAGTGATGCGCACGTATACCTGTCGAATGGAAAATGCCGGACGCTGCAGGGCTCAACGGCACATGGATTTTCGCTCTCATCGGGCTGGGCGCATCGCTGGACGGATACACCTCATTTACCAGAAAACGGGAATACTGGTAACACGGATTTCTTTGTTCCGCCTTCGCAATACTGTACGGATTAGTACGAAAGGCGGGATTCGGGTTTTTACATTGGGCCGACTCACGATATATCGTCGTCAGGTTTCTTGTGCTATAGGGGGTTCGCGGAAGCTGGGGCAGGGGGTTTGGCCGCGTGCGCTCTTTGTCAATCTGAAGGTCTGGACAAGGATGGCATCGTGGGCACGGGTTTCCGAGGCTTCCGCCGCCGCACCGGACGGGCGAGGAGAGGGCGCTCATGACGCGATGCGACGCGTCGTCTTTCTGCTTTCGAGATGACGGTGTAGCAGCATGAGGATGGATGCGACGAAGACGGTGTGGAATACATGTCAGACGCCTACTTCTTACACCCCGCATGGAGGGTAAATTCTCCTTCAGCCCTACAGCGCGCGAACGGTTGTCAGATCAGTAAGCCCTTGCGCGAGCAACCGCCGGTGGAGTTGACCCTGGAGATTTGGGTGCTGACATATACAACGTGGGAAATCCGGGGTATCAGATACATCTGTCCACCAGGGCAGTAACGTGAGCAAGATATGACGTGATTTGATTTGATTGCAAATCCTCTACATGCATGCTCCCTTCACAGGAAGGATCATGCTCCTGGAACCCTATACTTCCGTTGCGAATACAGCGTGACGGAGAAACCGTCTCGTGCTCGGATGTAAAAGACCGTCTCAACCCGTCCTCCGGGCAGCAGCGAAGTGCGAGAGGTATCACAAATCGCCGAGACCCTTTGCTTCGGGCTCGCACGGGAATTCTGAAACTTTGCCTCTTTAGGCAAGCGTTGCGGTCAATCCTTCTTCTCTGCATTATCCTGAAAGCGTTTAGGCGGCTTCGTACTCGCCTCTTTGCCGCTAATAGAACGTTATTCGTTGGTTCGTTTACATGTGAAATCCGCTGGGCAACTAGTGTGTAAATTGAATGCAAGGCTGAATCGACAGGTACTAGTTGGGGCTGTCTTGTCGATGGTCCTTGGAATTCTTCGGCATCGGGGTCTGTGTCAACGCTACGGAGCGTTGTACGATATTCGATTCGCAAATCAAACTTAATCGCTCGAATCCAAGATCAACGGCGGTGGAGTTAGAAGGGCGTTATTACCGACAGAACGACCGTTGGGGACCGCCCAAAGGATGGACAAAGTGCTTAGCGGCTTGCGATAGTTACCGGCGCTAAAACATCCTGCCCAGGTGTCAAAGCTCTAGTATTAGACAGTTTCTGCGGAACAGTCACGTCAAGCGAGCCATGCGCTTGCTGACAAAGGTGGAAAGAGGCATACCTTTCGTAACGATCCTCGTGGGCGGTGCACGAACCCGAGTATGGTATGCGAGACAGTGCGACGCCTGCCCTGTACGCGACTAAGTGGCGCGGACGTTTCAACGGCCAACCTGAAGGTATGTTTTGCGAACAACGATACGTGTCGCAGAGCGTGACGGGGCGACACAAACTCTGCGCTTGTAACTATCGTATGCAAAAAGGCTCAGGCGTAGCTGGTGGCCTTGCCGGATGGCTGCCTGCTGGTATGGGTCCCGGAATAGCATCGCAGACGAGAGCAACAGACGAGACACGGTTGAACCCGTGAAGGATGCTTGTGCCACTGTCCGTTTCACACCAGCCTCTCATGGTGCTTTCCACACAGCCGCGCCGGAGTTGACTCCGTGCCGTGGCATCTCGCGCTCTGCACGTGACGAAAAACCGGTCACCGAGTGCCCGCTTGTTATCGTGGGATTACTAGATCGCATCCGGTATGCCGAGTAGCGAATTGCGCTCCGTCGAAGCTGTCGTGAGGCGTCGTGGCGCGGTTTGCGTACCGAGTGATCCGCATGCTTCTTGAACTACTCGCAGATGTGCAGTTGTAGTGCATGTGGAGACTCTTGTATCATTTCAAATGTGAGTTATCCATGGTGTGTGGAGTGCGTCACTGGCAGAGTCGCGCAGCCCCACTAGAGGCTGAATCCCACGAGGCGCAGGCTTCGCAACATGCTTCCGCATCAGGCAAGTTGCTGTCGCACGTAGGATTGCTTGAGACCTACTTGCGTCACATCTTTCGCCCTGCTGCTCCTCACGCTTGCGAAGTAAACTCGCTGCGTACGAGCAGTTTAGTTGGCTGCGCTCTCAAAGTTATTTTGGTTGGCTCATATCAATATGGTTACGCCGCAGACGCGTAGGTAGGGTTGCATCGGTAGGCAGCCTGACCGGTAGCTGAAGAATTGGCTTGATTGAAGGACTGTTAATGGAGGATGGAATATCAATTCATGGAAGAGCGAGTCTGTTTATGGCTCAAGCGGGTGACGAGCACCGGATGATCCAATGGTTCGGGGCTGTACGATCCCGTCTGGGGGACCGCGGGGTAGGTGGGATGATGATTATTCAGAGATCGGCGAGGTTCTAGTGTCCGACGGCGTAGGCGTACTCGCTGACTTGCTAGAAGCAGTAGTTGATGCAAGGAAACAGAATGGAAACTATCCTTGCGTGTGTTTGCGCTTTTCGAATACCCGCATTCTTTGCAGTCACCCTGCATGTCGTGATTAACAGGTTGTTGCGCAGAAGATCGACGGTGCAGGGTTGTACGGCTGCGCGCCCTTTGACTCCCAAATCAATATCGCGATGCTTCAACGGACGAAGGCGGAGGTCAGAAGACTGACCGATCGCGATGCGGACTTAACGTGGCAGCGGTGACCTAATCTGG